AGGAGGGAGCCGGGGAACGAAGAAGAGACCTGCAGGCACATCATGGGGCAGCCATGGGGCCTCGGCCGGCTGTGAGGACCCAGTAAGCAGCCACCTGAGCACACAGCCTGCAGCTTGAGTCCTCCACCAGGAAACAGTTGAAGACAGAAGACCAGCCAGAAGAGGTAAGGGTAAATAATTCATTAAAATGATTATTATTTGTAGTCTAACTGATGTTGTATAAGGTACTGCTGGTATTTGAGTGCTCTATAGCAGGTGCCATTCTGCGTTGCAGCAATGCAGAATGGCACCTTCTATAGAGGACTTCAAATCTCAGCAGTACTTTATACAGCAATTATGTTCTCTATAGCCTGTGTCATTCTGCATTGCTGTAAATCTGGATGCACCAATACCCATGGCCAAAACTAGAGGGAGGAGGGGGTCAGGGTAGGCATGTGCCCCAGCCGCTGCATTATGGGTGGGTGCCGCCAGCAGGGTAACTACCGCACGACCCTTAGGGAGAGGGGCCTTATGCGACAGGTCCGCAATCATTGGAGGAGGCATTTTTAGAAAGATTTGGTTGCTGTGAGGTCCTGCACTACCTGGAGACATGCTATGTTCAAACATATATATTTTCTATCAATTATTTTCTATTTTTCCAACTTTATTTTTTTGTGGTTGCTTCAGGGGGTGTGGATTGGGGGGGGGGAGGGGGTTGTGTTTTTTTTTCATACAGTTGGACCTGTATGAACTCAAAGCAGGCGGTTATTTAGGTGACTTAGACTTAATGGTCACTTAGACATCTTAATGACTTTCTGTTACTTAGAGACATCATGGTGAGTTCACTTCCAATATAAACAACGTTAAACAAAAACTTGATACAGAGAAGAACTACGCTGCCTGTCTACCTGTCCAAAAAAAAGTCACTCTGAAATTTTGTTGAACCACCTTTAGCTTTAAATTACGGCACACATTCACCGTTGCATCGTTTTGATAAGCTTATGCAATGTCACAACTAGCGATGCACCGATAACGATACTAGTATTAGGGCGAGTACTCGAACTCGCCCAAATGCTCCGATGCCTAGCCTGATACTTCTGGTATCAGGAAGCCGGGCAGCGAGTCATTACACGCTTCCCAGCTTCCTGATTGGCCGGGAAGTCGGCTCCGTGCTCCCTCGTCACAGCTTTCTGATTGGTTGGGAAGCTGGCCAATCAGGAAGTCAGGCGCCGTGTGATGAGCCCGGGTGTGTGATTGGCCGGGGAAGCCGGCTTTATGCTTCCTCATCACCTCATGACAAGGGAGCATGGAGCCGGCTTCCCGGCCAATCAGGAAGCCGGGCGCCGCATCATTACATGGCGCCCGGATTCCTGATTGGCCAGAAAGCCGGCTCCATGCTTTCTCATCAGCTAGTGATGAGAAGCATGGGGACGGCTTCCCTGCTAATCGGGAAGCTGGGTGGAGAGTCTTTACACACCGCCCGGCTTCCCGGCTAACCAGGAAGCCAGGTGGCAAGTCATTACATGCCGTCTGGCTTCCTTAATGGGACTTCCGACATCGGTATTCGGTATCGGCGAGTACCGGAAAAAATATTGGTATTCGTAGTCGATACCGAAATACCGGTATCGGTGCATCCCTAGTCACAACATGTATTTCCATCCAGAGTTGCATAAATTTTTCACCAAAATCTTGTAGTGATGATGGGAGAGTCAGAACTCTGCGTAAAGTCTTCTCCAGAACACCCCAAAGATTCTCAATGGGTTAAAGGTCTGGACTCAGTGGTGGCCAATCCATGTGTGACAATGATGTCTCATGCTCCCTGAACCACTCTTTCACAATCTGAGCCCGATGAATCCTGGCATTGTCATTTTGGAATATGCCCAATGTGCCATCGGGGAAGAAATAACCCATTGATGAAAAAACCTGGTCATTCTTGAACCTAGACCTATTATCCAACGAAAGGCTCTTACCTTACCTGAGCTAAATGTGGTGGTGACTTTTTTGGGGACAGACAGTGCATATATCTAAAATATAAACAAATAAAACAAATAATTTCACCGGATCTACCATTTTGTTTTCAAACAGATCAGCAATTTTGCAACAAGTCCTCTTCTCAGTGACAAAAGAAAGTTTCCCTCTTTCTTCTTCTTCTTGTGGCCAGTGAGGCTTGGTCAACGTCTACCATCTTCTCTACAAGAACTCTTGCTCAGTTTGTTTCTGGAACGATTGGATTAGCCCTCCACAGTGGGACCATAATGGGATTTAAGGAGTTCCTGAACAAAGTCCATCCTTCCTCAGCCTGGGGAGGAAAGTGGGTGAAGATCTTCTGGGAAAAAACTTTTAGCTGCACATTTACTGATCGAAGCAACATTACAAGTGACCCGAGTACTTCAGTTAAATATTGTACAGGAGAGGAAAGTCTTGAAGACATTCGGAACAGCTTCTCTGATGTCTCCAACTTGCGAGTCACTTACAGTGCTTATCTGGCCACACAGATGGTCGCCAAAGCTTTGGAAGACCTAAGAACGTGTTACAATACAGAGCATTTAAATGTCAACAAAAAATGTGCCAGTATTTCCAATTTTCAGTCATGGCAGGTACTTTAAAAAAAAAAAGATTTATGAGAACAGAATGCTGTACTCTGTTAGCTGTTGCTCCAAAACAAAATGGCAGCTTACCATTCCTTAGATGTATTAGCTGCATTAGTTTTCTTTTACAAGGCTTTTCATCTTTATTTGCACCTGGTGATCCTGCCAGGTACACACTTCCTGTCCTAGGGTGACAACGGTATCTCATGATACTGTATCTATGGAGGAACCTAGGGTAGGGAGTGTGTTAGGACTACTTAACTCCTTCCTTTCTTCTCTCTTTCCTATAACATGAGTGAAGGTGTTATGTGATCCACATAGGAGAGCTGGGCAGGGTTAATAAAACTTTTTGAGGGTTTTTTAGTGCAACACAGGCACAAGACAGTCCTTGATTTCTAACAGGATCAAAAGGTGTCTTTTGCTCAGATAGATATAACTAGGGATGCACCGATACCGGTTTTCCTGTATCGAGTACGAGTACCAATATATTTTTTCGGTACTAGCCGATACCAAATACGATACCGAAAGTCCCATCAAGGAAGCCAGGAGGTGTGTAATGACTTGCCACCTGGCTTCATGATTAGTCGGGAAGACAAGCAGCGTGTAAAGACTCACCACCAGGCTTCCTGATTAGCAGAGAAGCCGTCTCCATGCTTTTCGTCACTAGTTCTAGCCCGATACTTGGTCGCGAAGTTGGCCAATCAGGAAGCTGGGTGTCATGTAATGACGTGGCGCACGGCTTCCTGATTGGCCGGGAAGCTGTCTCCATGCTTCTTGTCATGAGGTGACGAGGGAGCAAGAAGCTGGCTTCCCGGCCGATCAGAGAGCCAAGTGCCGTGTGATTACACTGCACCCGGCTTCCTTATTGGCCAACTTCCCAACCAAGAACTGGGCTAGGCATTGGAGCATTTGGGCGAGTACAAGTTCCTGCCCAAATACTCGGCACCGATACCGATACTAGTATCCGTATCGGAGCATCCCTAGATATAACTATATGCTTTTAATATCCATCCAAGAAGAGCTGCACTCAAAGTAACCTCCGTATGAATCCAAACTTTTTGTAAGTCCATAAACACGGCATACTCCACATACAGCTCCCCATAGCGAGAGGAACTCCCTCATGTGTTTCACCCACAGGGCTTAATCATAGAGAACTATGTAGTTTGAATTCATACGGAGGTTACATTGAGTTCGTCTCTTCTTGGATGAATAGTATATAGGCGGAAGCAAGCCTTTTCTGCAACACCTGGGGGATTCTCAATATGTGAATCTGACAGCAGAATCTGACCGGTGAGTGTTGTGGACCTTTTTATGCTTTTAATAGTTGCAATATATCTTTATAGCGCCCCCCTGAACCCAAGAGGCCCAAAGTGGACCTCCAAAAAGTAGGGAGGACTGACATTTCGCTCACAGTGGTGGATCCTTGGCCAGGTTGTAGGATGCGATCAGTAAATTGATCGCCAGTCACTTTAAGGACTTGTTTAATGCTTTATTGAAGAGCAGCAAAACTGGGAGAGAAGGGTATAGGGCTTAGAACATCCATAGTAAAAAAGTCTCCCAGCTCACCAATCCCTTCAGGATTCAACATTGCAGAATTACTTAAGTAGCACAGAGGCTGACACTGTGTAGAAGAACAACAGCTGGCTGAATAGTGATGAGTATCCCTGATGCGGGATGAGCTGAATAGGGACACCGGACTTGTTCCTGAGGTCCATGTTATCTTCTGGCAACTCTGCCAGTCATAGGGCTCCTCTGGTTCTCCTCCCCAGATAGTTTCAGACCCTTCCTGGGTCCATGTGTGGCCTCCTCCAAGCTAGAGGCCTAGTCAGCTTCTCTAACCTCAGGCCAAGTCAGGGGGTGGAATGAACCCTAGCACATGGCAATCCCTCAGTATTTATGCACTTCCCCGGCATGCATCATTGGTCATGAAACTCCTAGTGGCTGGTGAGGCATAGACACTCCTGATCTTCTCCTATTGGCTGCCCCACACTGTAACAGGGTCACATCCCACTCAAGGGTATGTGCAATCAATAGCAAAACAGCTAGAATTAAACAGTTGATACCAGACTACAAATCAGCTAGACTGATTACAGTGCTAGCAACACTAGATTTTAGTAGCCACTCCACTTAAGGTGGCAGCGGCTACATTAGGTTCTCACAGTACACCAGAAATCAGTCTGAAATTAGAAGTACCAGTATATTGAGGTAGACTTTTTGCATTGCACAGTGGTGTTACCACTAGTCAAAATGTTTTTTTCTTTCTATTGGAATAGAGTGGGGAAAGGTTAGAACCCTTGTCAATGGAAGGAGTGTAAACAAACAGCTAGTGGGGGGAATGGGAACGTGTTGGTTCACCTAACATGACACCTTAAATGAAAAATGAATTATTATACATTAATAAAGTTCTTCCCATCTCGGATCTCACAGCTTCTAAACTATATGAAGAAAGCGCGGTTAAAACTGACCGATGAGAGAGAGCTTTACTTTGATGAGAATGGAGACCCTCCAGCTGTCTACGACATTGTGAACTTGCAGCTGACTCCAGTGGGCACCATACAACACGTCAAAATTGGCAGTTATGACACCACGGCAGATTTTGGTCAAATTTTTAGCGTAAACACAAGTATTATTCAGTGGGCCACCAGTGATCAACAGGTGTGTCTTTGACATTAAGTCAATTAATGTTTTACATTGGAAATTAATAGAGATTTGCAGATGAAAGTGAATGTCCAGCCAAACCTCTTTGGATAGAGTGGGGAAGAAATAAAATGTCTTCTGAGGTTTTGCTGCTATTCGAATCTCTGTTAGAGAGATCTACCCTCAGTTACTATCCTGGTGACAATGGTTTCACCAGACAGGAAGTGAGGGAAAATATGCAGCTGCAACATAATAAATGTTTTTGGTTTTCTTAGCATTTATGGTGAAGGCTAGAATTGGTGGTGCATGTTTCTCAGGGGGGGTGTGAAGGGGGGTGCTGGTGGTGCACATTTGGGGGTTGCTGGTGGTGCATGTTACAGG